GGCTCCCTCCGCCCCTCCCGAGCAACACGCGCCAGATCTTCCTCAGCAGCAGCGCCCGCGATCTCGGAACTATTTTGCTGCGCGCGCCCCCCCCTCCGACGTTGCGGAAAAAGTTGCAGCATCGCGAACAATCTCGACCGCAGCCACATATACCATCTTCTGGTGTCATTTTTCGAGTCGGATCGATCTGTGAGGGCGACGGGGCCCAAAACTGGGCGAGAACGCCAGGATCTCAGAGACGCCCTCCTCGATCCTCGACCCCCCCCCCACGAGCCCAAACGAACGGGCAGGCACAGAGGGGCCCAGGACAGGGGTGGGCAGGACCCGTCACCTCGGGTGCTGCCTTGCCCGCAGACCCCTGCGCTGGGAGGTCGGTGCAGGTAGGGCCAGAGCGTCTCGGTGACGCCAGCGATCCCCTTTCCACGAAGGGAACACAGCTAGGCTACGCTAGCTTTTTGAATGCCGTTCAGCTCTAGCCGAAGGGGTACAGCACCGAACTGGCCCGAGAGCTCGATCGATCGATCCTCCTCTTCTTCCTTCTCCTCTTCCCCCCTTCCCCTCCCCTCCCCCTCCCCTCCTCCACCGTACCCGTCCTCTCCCCTTCTTCCCTCCCTCGCCCCCCTCCTCAGCCTCCTCCTCCTCTTCCTTTGGGCGAGGTGTGAGATCGCTCTCTTGTGCCTGGCGGCGCGACGCTTTTACGACAGCGACATTCTCAGGCGTTCTGTTTTCTTCGTGCGGATGCTGGTGATTGGGCACTGATGTCGTTAGGATGTGGCGATCTTCAAGGGAATGTGGCTGCGCCCGACCAGTTCATTAACGTGCTGGGCTCGTGGGTGGACAGGTTGATTCAGAATTCTTCGAGTGAGGCAGATCGTGGATTCTTCATATGCAAGAGACGGTGACGCAAACTGTCGCTGAATTCAGCCACGGCGCGTATGCGGGCGACATGTTCCGCGCGTGCCTCTGCGAAGACGCGAAGGATGCGGTCGCTCGGATTTCCGAGTGGGACGCGCAGCTTCACGCACGCTACAGTGTCCCGACAGGGTTGTGCCAAACTGCTGGCGAGAACAGCGTTGTTCAGGGCGTGCGGGAAGGGGTCTCATCGGTACATGCACATTTCTATCCCAAGCAGGTCTCCTCCTCCGCCTCCTCCTCCGTCCCGTCTCCTCCGCCTCCTCCTCCTCCGTCTCCTCCTCCTCCTCCTTCTCCTCCTCCTGCTCATGGTCCCATTCCAACCAGGTGGTATTCAATGGGATGGTGGCGAACACCTTCCTGTCGAGAGGGGAGGCTTGGGGGCTCTCAGATCGGGCTGCCGAACGTGCTGCTGGTGTTATCGCTGCGCATGCTCGGGCTCTGTTGATGGGAAGGTGACAACCAACAATCATGATAGTGAAATGAGTCTAACGTACTGGCCTACCCGTAGTAACTATGCAGTTCGATGACGATTGAATGTATTTACCACTGCTGGTACTCTCGGATATCGACGACTACGATGGCTACAACATATGGCTAAGCATTCTCAGGATCGCACTTTTCTTCTTTGAGTATTGACGGGCCCTGTGTATGGGGCGGGTTAGCTTGCGCGGCGAGGGAAACCAACGCATCGAAGTAACCCGTGGCTGAAGCACCTGGGGAAGGGCTTGGGCGTGTTAGGCCGTATCGATCGAACTGCTAGGGAAGCATTTCGTAGATGTGGGTGGTTTGCTTTTTTCGATGTGGCGTCGCTGTTCGACCCCCCAAAGAGAGTGTGCTTGATTTCGGTGTTCCTCTGGCTGATCCCTTATTTGCTCTACCTCCGCGAGAGTATCTCTACAAGTGTGAACGTATGATCGATTATGCCCCATCTGTGCATGCACATCCTGCACGTGAGTTGCTTCGACTTCATGAGTTTCGGAAACATGGCATATGTTTTGATTATCGGAGCGCAGCAATTACCAATCAGTGTCCGTGGTGCGACCGAGCGTTCTCGACGACCGCGAATGTCAAACTTCGCTGTGCTGCCCGGGGTAAGCGACAGCCATGTTCATGTCTGACTTTGGGAGGCCCGTTCGGTGGCTTTTTTTCGGTTCTGGTGATTCCGTCGCCTATATCGTGCCCGTGTTGTGCGGACTGTAGCTTGTGTTCTCTTGTTGATTCTCATTATCATATAGTAGCACTCCTTGCCACGCGAGGGTGATTGAGGCGTCAGCGAATGCAATCCGTCCGTCAAACTCCGAGGGGCTGGCGCAGAAGCAGCGGGCGGCGGGCTCCACGGGCGCGCGGGTTCGCAAGCTAGCGGTGGCCACCGCGAAGGCAGTCGTCGGCATCAACGGCGAGATTCTCGGAGGATGAAAGGAGTTCTCGAGACCGCAGCTCTGGTGGCAGAGGAGCCTCCTCACCTGAGCGGGATGCGGCAGTCGGGACGAGACTACGACGCGGAGGGGAAGGCGCTGAACGAAGCCAAGGGCTTCGACGACCCTCAGAGGATGATGCCATCACACGAGCGCTGCTGGGTCGTCTTGGAGCATGCGATAGCGGCCCGCATGAGCATCCCATCGGAACAGAAGAAAAGACCGACGGCGTACCGCGGGGCGGTGAAGAGTGTTGGCGGCCAGATATTGACTTGCATGCAGGAGAAGTGCCATCGCCAGCGTTTGTGGACAGAGGACTGTTGGCGCATCAGCGTGATGGTGGTGCCAGAGTTGAGAGGGCGGCGCAGATGGAAGCGATGACCGCTATCGACTCGAAGCCCAGAACCGAGATGAAGAGTGGAGCCCCCATTCGCAATCCCAACGCGCGGAATGTGATCGCAGAGCTGGTGGCCACCGCTCCTCCTCCTCCTCCTGCTCCTCCTCTTCATCCCTCTCCTCCTCCTCCCTCCTCCTCCTCCTCCTCCTCCTCCTCCTCCTGCTCCTGCTCCTCCTCCTCCTCCTCCTCCTCCTGCTCCTCCTCCTCCTCCTCCGGCCCCTTCCCTCCCTGCCCTTCTCTGCGCCGCCCTCCGGGAGAGTTTCAGGACTCCTCGAAGCAGGAATGGAGGCCAGGGTGTGAGCCGCGTCGCCGCTGCCGCCTGCGGCGAATTTCTCTACTCCTTCCGCTCTCGCTCGCAGCCTCGTGTCCTCCTCCTCCTCCTCCTCCTCCTCCTCCTCCTCCTCCTCCTCCTCCTCCTCCTCCTCCTCCTCCAATGTCAGAACGGGTGCAGCATTTTCGGAGGTCCCACGAGTTTCAAGAGGGGTATCGGTATTTTTTGTTGGCCAGGGATCGAGGGTGACTCTGATACTCATTGGAGTGCTGCCAGTGGAGGTGTTGCTGCGTGCTTCGTGGCCTCCCAACGGTTTCATGGGTGTCACCGTTTCGCCGTGAGAAATTGGGAACGTTCCAATTTGCGATTCAGGCTGGGGGCCAGCGGCCTTGGAGTTTTGATTCCTGGGGCCCGCTTGCACCTCGCAGCATTCGTGCCCGGCATCAGCCTTTATCCCGTAACATGCTTGATCGGCCTGCAGGGGATTCAAGGGGCAGAGAGTATCATGGAATCCTCTCCGTCCGCCTCCTCCTCCTCCTCCCGCTCCCCCCTCAGCCTCCTCCTTCGCCCGCTCCTGCTGACCAGGGCTGGGGCGGCGGCTCCCAGAACACCAAGGGTTCCCAAGGTGGCAAGGGGTACTTCAAGGCGCGCGCCCGCTCTTGCCAAATGCCGGCGCGGAGCAGGGCCAGGGTCCCTTCCAGCCCCCTCAGGCTGCCAGTCTCTCGTCCGCTCTCTCTCTCTCTCTCTCTCTCCTTTTTCTGTTGCCGTTCCCTCTCTCTCTCTCTCTCTCTCTCTCCCTCTCTCGTCCTCTTTCTCCTGTCCCCCCTCTCGCCTCGTGTTTCGTCCCTGGCTCCTCTCTGGCCCGGGCCGCTGCGGTGCGGCGTGGCGTGCCGCGCCCGCCTGCGCGGCGTGTGCGGCCAGCGCGCCGCGCACGCCGCGCGGGCCGCAGCGCTCCTCGTGGCACGGCCCGCCCAGGCCCTCCTCCTCCTCCTCCTCCTCCTCCTCCTCCTCCTCCTCTTTTCTCCTCCTCCTCCTCCTTCCTCCTCCTCCTCCGCCTCCTCCTCCTCCACCTCCTCGTCCTCCTCCTTCCTCCTCCTCCTCCGCCTCCTCCTCCTCCACCTCCTCGTCCTCCTCCTCCTCCTCCTTCTCCCCCTCCTCCTCCTCCTCCTGGCGCGGCCAGGGCGGCCGCGCGCGGGCGCCGCGCTGTGCGCCGCGGTGCCTGGGAGGGCCAGGGAGGCGGAGCCGAGAGGGGGAGGGAGGAGGGCGAGGGGCCCAGACCCCCTCGAGTCATGAAAAGATCAGGACGGGAGGTTTTTCATGATTTTCGGCCTCTGGGGGCCCTTGCCGGCCCTCGGGGCCGTCAGAAAACGACTCGGGACGAAAAACCGGTCCCGGGGAATGGGTCGAGACCTCGGGGGGTCGACGTCATGAAAAAATCATGACGTCGGGGGTCTGGGGGGCGAGGCAAGCTAGGTGCGCTCGCGTCATATCTGACATCCTACCCCTCCCTCCCATCCCTCAGGGGGGAACGAAAGGTGGAGACGAGGATAGGGGAACGAAACGATAGGGGACAGGGAATAGCGGAGCCGAGAGGGGGAGCGTCAGGAGGGGAAAAACACACAGACACAATTCATCGTCGATTCTCCAGAAGATGGGAAAATATGGGAAGTGGGGGGGGAAGACAGAAACCCAGAAAATACGGGAAAATGTGGCGAATCCAGTTATTTGTGTGTATTTATTTGTGTGTCCCAGCGCCTCTTCATGCTTGGGAGAGCCAGGGAGGCGGAGCCGAGAGGGAGAGCGAACAGGGCGAGGGGGCGAGGATAGGGGAACGAAAAGTAACATAAACATAAAAACTCGGAGGTCCGCGCGGACTTCTCGGATCGGCGCTGGGGCCCCCCGGCGGCGCCTCCGGCGCCGCCCCTGGCGCGCTCCGCGCGCCAGGGAGGGGGGTCCAGCGCCGATCCGAGAAATCCGCGCGGACCTCCGAGTTTCTATGTTTATGTCACTTTTTGTTCCCCTAAGGGAAGCGGATCCGAGAGGGAGAGTGAGGAGGGCGAGGGGACGAGGAGCACCGAAGGAGGGTGAGCAGGGGCGAGAAGGACGAGGGAGTTGCAGAGAAGGGGTGAGGAGGACGAGAAGGCAGGATCCGTCGAACGGGGGAGGAAGAGAGGGAGGAGTGGCGTCACGCGGGTCGGCCACGTCGTGGGGCGCTCTTGATGCTCGCATGTTCTCGTTCAACACATTGGTGTCCATCCGATCTGGAAGAATCTCATGGGCACTGCATTTCTCGCATATGATTGAGCGGTGCTTCATGCAAGGGGGTCAACTACGGATTCCCGAAGGGCGGCTTCTTTGGCGGCTTCGATTGGTGCAAGGGTGGTAAGGAACTCCACGGTGCCTTCTCGTGCGCTCTTTTGCAAAGGCCCTCCGCCTCGCCATCCTCTGCCACCCGGCGTGAAGTTCGCGGCGTGATTTTTGTACGCCCCCGTTGCACACTGCACGTCGCGGGCGGCCCTGCCCGTCACCGGACGCGAGGGCGGGGAGTTGTGCGGCAGGTTCGTGCTGCCCTTGGTGCGGCGACGCCGGCGCGGGCGCTCAAGGCCAGGCGCCCTCTGGCGAGCGGCGGGGGCCGATGGCCGAGAACAGGGCGTCTCCAGCGAGCGACGAGCGTCTCGCGGGCCCCGGGCCAACCAGAGGCAGCCCACAGCGCGAAGCTCGTGCGAAAGATGGAGTCGAGAGCCGCCAGTCGGCGGCGAGCCTTGGGGGGCAGTTACACTGGAGCGAGCCGTCTCGGAAGGCTTGGAAGTCCTCTGCTGAACAGAAGAGCGGATTGCCGCATTTTCTCGCCTAGGAGGTGGAGGCGGGGTCTCATCCGAGTCCCCTTGCCCTGCGACCTTTTGCGAGTCCTGTTCCCACGAGTCCAATCGACGCTGCGGCATCGGACGCCCCCGCTGGGGCTCATTTGGCCAGAGACATCCTTGAAGTTCTGAGCCCCAATTTGCTTCTGTTTCTTATGATATCTGACATGCAGGGGTAGGGTTCACATCTGTTTGCACTTGACCTCGTCTTGCCCTGGCTTGTCTCCCAGGCCCCCCAGGCTCCTGGCTGACGCGTCTGCGACGTCAGCGGCCCGCCACCTTCGCACCAAGCAGCACGTTCTCTGTCGGGGTACCTCCTGCGATCAAGATTTCTGGGGGTACGCGGAGGGGGTATGCCCAGGTGGGGTTACGGAACGACCCCAGCTGTTAGGCGTCGTCGTTGGGACGACGACGACGAAGAGGACGAGGGCTGGACGACGAACGCGACGAGGACGAGGACGAGGGGAACGACGACGACGACGACGACGACGACGACGACGACGACGACGACGACGACGACGACGACGACGACGACGACGACGACGACGACGACGACGACGACGACGACGACGACGACGACGACGACGACGAGGGGTCCTTTTTCCAGGGGCCGTTAGGGCGATTTTCGTCTGACCGTTCTGGCTCTGGGCGGAAGCAGCGCCAGACGGGGGGGTCACCCCCAGTGGGGCCGCCGCCGCCTCCAGGTCATGCCCCCCCCCCCATTGGGCCCCCCAGGATCCCAGACCTCCTCGATCCTCGATCCCCCCTCCTCGATCCCCCCCCCTTCTCCTCGATCCTCGACCCTCGATCCTCCCTCCTCGATCCTCCCTCCTCGATCCCCCCTCGATCCTCCCTCCTCGATCCTCGATCCCCCCTCCTCGATCCCCCCCTCCTCGATCCTCGATCTTCGGCCCCTGCCGGACCTTTTCTGCCCCCCCCCCCCCCCCGGAGCGGGGGCGGTCCAGGAGCGGAGAATCGGCCTCGGCGCGCCCCCTGCCCTCTCGCCGGGTGGCGGCCGCGCCCGCGGGAGTGCGAGAGGCGGCGGGCCCCGCCCGGCGGAGGGGCGGCGGAGGAGCGGCGGAGGCACGAGTCGGGTCGGGCACGTCCCCCTGCAGGCGGATCTTGGACGAACAAGGTCGGGCACGCCCCCCTGCAGGCGGATCTCGGACGAACAATGGAGCACATTCACAAGACATTCGACTGAAACATTTCAGACGAGCATTGGAGCAGATTCACAAAGCATTCAAGTGTGGTCGGAAAATGATCAAAAAACATCGTCTCCGGGCTGTGTTTTGACCGGTTTTGAGCCCTCCTCCTGTGGAGGGACAGGCCCGACTGGACTCGAGAGTCAGGTCGGGCACGTTGGTTTGGGGCGACACTCGTGGTTGAGCACTGCTCGGACGGGGCCAGGGCGAGGACGGATCCGTTCCGGAGCGGTCCCCGGCGGCTCTCGGAGCGATCCAGGGCGCTCCGAGAAGGCTGCGGCGCCCGAGACACCCTCCATCTGGACGCCCGAAATGGATACTGAAAGAATGGGTACGGTAGGTTTGCGTCGTGTCGACCAGCGGCGACCCCAGCGCGGGCGTTCAACGTTGAACGCCGACGGCGGCCCAGAATCGGTCGATGTTGAACGATCGGACGTTGCGGCAGCGGCCGATCGTTCAAGGTTGAACGATCCAGCGCGGTGTCAGGAACCAACGCCAGGGTCGACACGGCACGGACCTGCAGTACAATGCCCAACAACAGTTCCTGTTCATTTTGAACAGGATTCGCTGTCCGCGCCGCCGCGGCCTGTGTCCACTCGAGACAGAAGGCCGCCTGCCCAGCAGCGGCCGCTGTTGGCTTGGGACAACATTTGTTGTTGGGCATAGTTCCCATTCTGTCCGTACCCATTTCGGACGTCCAAACTCCAGAGCCGTGGGGTCGCAGAGATTCTCGACCTGGCCTCGTCCAAACAAACATCGGATTTTGGGCGAACAGTGAAGCAGATTCACGAAACGTTCAAACACAGTCGAACAAACATAGTCAAAACATCGTCTCTCCAGACTATGTTTTGACTAGTTTTGAATCCTCCTCCTGTCGAGGGACAGGCCCGACTTAACTCAAGAGTGAGACATCATTTTTGGGTTCGGGTTTTCCCCAGTCGGCCGTTTTGGGCGGTGATTTTCGGCGTTGGGCCTGATCGAGTTGCAATTGCTGTCGCGCGCGGCTCTTCGGCAGTCTTCCGTGCTTTCCTGGATTCTGTTCTCCTTGCAGGATGCATCCGCCTTGCACTATCTGCAGATTGTATTATTGTCTTCTGCGTCGTATCGCTGTGTGCATATTGCATCGTCTTTCTCTGTCTTATCCTTCATCGTATTTGCGCGCTTTTGCTTCAGCGCTTGCTATTGCGAGGACCCAGCTACAATGACCCGATGGGTTGATCCAGATCTCAAGGTCTGGATTGGCAACCTGACAGACGACATAACATGGAAGGAGCGTATGTCTGTCTGCTCGTCTGCTGTGCTGTATGCTGTTCCGTCGGCTTTCGGGAGTCATAGGTGATTCTGGCTGTCCATCGTCTCAGCAGGGCACGTGCTGTCGGAACGGGTGGAGAAGGGTTGGAGGAGAAGGGTGAGCAGGGTGAGGAGGGTGAGGAGGAAGAGGAGGAGGAGGAGGAGCAGGAGGAGGGGGAGGAGGAGGGAGGGGGGGATGGGCACGCTCCGTCGGAAGGTCATCCACCAACCCTTCATTAATACTCCATCCAAATTACCTGCTGTCTTGAAGCCTTCTCCTCCCGCTCCTGTTGCGGATGCTCCTCCCTCCCTTCCCCCCTCCTCTCTCACTCTGACCTCCCCGTCCCCTCCTCCTCCTCCCCATCTACCTCATCCTTACGCTCGGGCTCCTCCCCCTCCTCTTCCTTCCCGTCCTTCTCCTCCTCCCCCTTCCCCCACCTCCTCCCTGTTCCATTCCCTCCTCGTCAGCGCTCTCTCTCTCTCTCTCTCTCTCTCTCTCTCTCTCCCCCCCCTCCCATTCCCCCTCGTCTGCCTCTCCTGCTTGTCCTCCTTATCCTCCTCCCTCCTCTCGTCTACTCTCCTCCATCCCTTCACCCCTCCCTCCTCTTCCCTCCTCCTCTCTCCTCCCTCCCTCCCTCCCTCCTCCCTCCTCCTCCCTCTTTCCTCCCTGCCTTCCTCCCTTCCTCCTTGCCTCCCCTCCTCCCTTCATCCCTTTTCTCTCCTCCCTTCTCGCTCCTCCCTCCGCTCTCCTCCCTCCCTCCATTTTGGCTTCTGCCTGCCTGCACTCAGATCTGGTGCTCTGCTACCGCTTTGCGTAACCGCCGCCGTGTATCAAACATATATTGGTGAGTTGAAGAGCTCACTGCCTACATCTTATTGCCGCACTGTTTTCTCTCGTCAAGCTTCCCCGCCGCAATTCTGGTTGGTAGCGGAGTTGGGAGCGATCCCTGCTGGCGATCCACGGCACGCGCGCAGAGTGCGATGTGGACGCGCACTCACCCTTAACCTCCGAATTCAAAGCACCCTCCAATCCTTGAGCGGTTTGTCCTTACGGCTGTTCTGCAAGTCCTCGGACAATTCGCCTCAGACGCTCACAGCCAAGCAACATCGTTCGAGTCGCCTCGAGGAAACGGCTGCGAGGGCATTCGCAGCTGCAGGCCAGCCAAGCAACATCGTTCGAGTCGCCTCGAGGAAACGGCCGCGAGGGCATTCGCAGCTGCAGGCTGCTACGCGATGTGGAGCACACGCCCCCGACCCATCGCACCCCACATGTGCTGGCCGCAGCGTCGCGTCGGGCATGACGGCGAGGCTTTGCCCTGTGCTACTACAGTGCCTCGTAATGTGTGCGACGGTGCCGGCGGTCCTCGCGAGTACGTCGCACCACCCGAGTGGAAAACTGAGTGCTAAAGCACCATTTTCACCACCCTTGGCTCCGACCAAGGCTGTCAGCCCCACTACGGCTGCCCCCAACTCCGCCATGGCGTAGCAGGCCCGAGTCCCAAGGCACTTCCGCAGCTCTCATCGTGGTGGAGTCTCGTCGAGGAACATCCTGACGGTCTAGGGCAGCATCCTCATGTTCTTTGCGGTCCCCCTTTTTTGGCTCGCCTGCATGACGGAAGGTGGAGCCCACCCACAGGGCTTCGGAGGGGGTCGTGGTGGGGCCACCTCTTGCCAGCCGCCCTCATGGTCACCCGAGCTCGAAACACTAGATCCCTTCCGTCACTGGTTACATGACCTGCTCGCGTGGAGCGTGCTCGCCACCGACAGGGCAGCGCCCAAGAACGTGTTGCCGTTATCCTACCTCTGTGGAGCCGCTCGCGAGCTCACGCGCGCCATGAGCTTCGCGGATGCGACAGGGGGAGGCATGGTCAACGGCCAGCGCGAGGACGCCGTGACCTACCTCATCGCGAGCCTTGCCACTGAATTCGGTTCACTGGGCGAGGGATCGCGCTTCCAGGCTACGCGCGAACTTTTCGATCTCTCGAGGCGCTGTAACGAGACCGCCGATTCGCTGCTCCCGCGGCTTTTCACGCTGCGATTCCGAGCTACGCACAACGGTGGAGCTGCGATGTCTGGGGGAGGATCGGTCGGCGTCACAGCTAGCCAACTCATGACGTTGCTCCAGCCGTGCGGCAACTGATACGATACCCAGCCACAAATCCCGAGTTCAACAATCTCACGACGATGCTCAGACGCGTGGTTCACATCGTGGAGCATGGGCCATACAATATCGACAGCGCTCCCCTCGCCGCCATCGTTCGGAGGCTTCGTGGGCATTACCAACGACGACAGCCAAGACATACCCAATACGGACCCCTAGCGCATTCGGGGTGTCGACCCGTGGGCAGCCAGCGTCGCCGAGCTCCCTGATGCCAGAGGCGCCATGGCGTTCGCCACCGGCCCGTCGCAGAGCGCCGTGCCGCCGCAGGCAGCATTTCCTGCAGCCGCATGGGCGCCGGCGGACGGGGCCGACTACGTCAGTGGGACCTCCTCAGACACCAGTGTGGATCCGCGCAGAGAGGTCAACTACCAAACTCCAGAGATTCAGGCACCCCACCGCCCGATTGCATGAATTGCAGGCGTTGTGAGGGCGAACCAAGTGCCCGCATCTCGGAAACAGGGAGGAGCTGTGTGCAATGAGAAGGGATAGAGGGCTGTGGGAGCACTGCCCGCGCAGGAGGACGACGGGACTGGCGCCCCATACCGAGCAGCGGTGGGAACCGCAGGGTATCTCCCGACTTCTCTGGAGGCCCCCGGACCGGAGGTCTCCAGTGGGTTCCGAGGGCCTCGACGGGCTTCCGGTAGAGGCCTCCAGAGGGATGGAGGAAGATCAGGGGCGACCTGGCCGACCCCTGGCAAACCATCCCTTTCCGCGGCGCCCTCTTCGCCTCGCTCCAAAACGTATGTGTGCGGCCGGGGGAAGCTTGAACGGCGAGGGTGACGTCACAGAGGGAGAGGGTGTGCTGGGGCGTGGTCAGGCCTCGCCCGGAGAGGAGGAGGATGCCCACTGCTTGCGTGACCGCCCCTTTTTTGGCCGCCTCATGGCATCACCCAAACCACCGTGCTTGTACTACGTGGACACTGGCCCCCCACGGGGTGACAGCGTGTGCAGGGAGGGAGGGAGGGAGGGAGGGAGGGAGGGAGGAGGGAGGGAGGGAGGGAGGGAGGGAGGGAGGGAGGGAGAGGAGGAGGAGAGAGGAGGAGGAGGAGGAGGAGGAGGAGGAGGAGGAGGAGGAGGAGGAGGAGGAGGAGGAGGAGGAGGAGGAGGAGGAGGAGGAGGAGGAGGAGGAGGAGGAGGAGGAGGAGGAGGAGGATATGTTCGCTGGAGGGCGCTTTTTGTCCACACCGCCTGGGCAACGATGCGCTGTGGGATGTTTGCGCTGTACGTTCGGCTCGGACGTGCGCCCCCGAGGACCCGGGCGCGTGGATCGGCCCCCGGTCACCGTGCAGAATCGGCGCGCTCCGGTGCCCAACGTGCCGGCATGGGCCCTGTGTTCCACGCGCCAGATCCACACATCTCAGGAGAGGGAAAAACACACAGACACAATGAATCCTCGATTCCCCAGAAAATATGGGAAGTGGGGGGGGGAAGACAGAAACCCAGAAAATGCAGGGAAATAGGGGGAATCTTTTTTATTTGTGTGTGTATTTATTTGTGTGTCCTGGGGCCCCTTCAGAATTGTCCGTTTGGGCGCGATGTCGTGAAGCAGCGCTGGAACTGCTCGCCTGGGCGCACGGGCGCGGGCCCCTGCCCGGATCGCCCGTCTGGTCCGCGAGTGCCAGGGCGCGCTCGGCTTTTGGCCGGCCGCGCGCAGAGGGGGGCGAGGGGGGAGGGGGGAAGACTCCCTATGAGCGACGCCAAAACAAGGGGTCATCAGTGCCGACGTCGGCGCGTCAGCTGCCCGCGTAAGCTCGCGCGTGGGCGCCGTCGTCTCCAATGCGGCGTGCCGTGCCGGCGGCCCGCGCAGGACTTCGGCGTAGGGTCGCGGTGTCGTCCCGCGTACGAGCCGTTTCGGATCGTCGCTTTTATGCCCGATTTTCGTTAATGGGCGAAGAACGGTATAAGATAAACTTTTTCGCCGTCGGGGGCGCCTGCCCCTGGGCGGCTGGAACGTTTATATCCTTACCGTGGCACCGCAGGGGTATAAACTTTCCAGCCGCCCTGGGGCAGGCGCCCCCGACGGCGAAACAGTTTCTCTTATACCGTTCTTCGCCCGTTGAGTAAGAGCCGTTTCTGATCGTCGCTCTTCTGCCCGATGCCCGGAGACTCGCAGCCCCCACTTGCCCGATTGCGCCGCCGGATCGGCGACGGCAGCGCTCGCGGCGATCCCAGCGCCCTCGCCGCCGGCGCGCACCCCTCGCGGAGGAGTGCCCCGAGGCTGCCGGCGCCGCCTCGTCGGCGCCGCCTCGCGCGTCGTCGCCGCCGTCGTCGCCGTCGCCGTCGCCGTCGCCGTCGCCGTCGCCGTCGCCGTCGGCGTCGGCGTCGCCGTCGCCGTCGCCGTCGCCGTCGGCGTCGGCGTCGCCGTCGCCGTCGCCGTCGGCGTCGGCGTCGGCGTCGGCGTCGGCGTCGGCGTCGGCGTCGGCGTCGGCGTCGGCGTCGGCGCCCCGAGCGCACGGCGTCGCCGATGGATCGGGCGAGGGCCGCGGAGGCTCGGCAGGCGCCCCGCGGAGCGGCCGCGCCCCGCAGGAGCTGCAGGCCCACATGAACGCGGCGGCCTCCCCAGCCTCGGGGGCCCAGAGGTCACCGCCCACCAAACCACCCCAACCCAACCCGAAGGCCCCGATTTGCCCTCCATTTCCGGTGGGGGGGGATCGGGGAACATCGAAAAAACACGTATGGAACCCATACCCCCCCCAACCCGAAATTCGGGTCTTCGGGTTGGGTTGGGGTGGTCTGGTGGGTAGTCAAGAGGAGGGGAGCTGGCACAAGATAGATGTTTAGACAAAGTGGGCCGCCTGAGGCCCCGCCCGCCTGTGCCCTGTCTCCCTCATTATTGGAGCTGTGCGCAGCCCGCCCAGCTTTTGGCGGAAGAGGCTCGCTCTCGCCCCGCCGACCAACAGCTGTTTAGACAACGAGGCTACATCGCCTTTGCAACAGTTCTCAGGAATTTTGCCACTGCGCCCGGGATGCACATCTTGTTCGCAAGCACGGGCTTCCCGCGACGGCGGCCCCAAGGGGGACGGGGGCCCAGGAACCGGTACCTCCACAGTCTCGGGGGCCCTGGAGTCGGAAAAAACTTTGAGGTCCGCGCGGAGTTCTCGTATCCGCGCTGGACCCCCCTGGCGGCGCCTCCAGCGCCGCCCCTGGCGCTCTCCGCGCGCCAGGGAGGGGGTGCAGCGCCGATCTGAGAAATCCGCGGGGACATCCGAGTTTTTGTAATTCTCTTCGTTCCCCTATGGTTATGATGCTCCAACCTACTCTAGCCTTGACTACCAGAAAGAATTTCGAGCGCCAAAAAAAGTACTGAAACTCAAGGGCTTTCACGCGTCGGGCACTGGGAGACACGCGCCCGACACTGTTTTGACACGGTTTCGGCACTCTTTTGGCACTCTTCCAGGTGCTCGAAATCATTTCTGGGATGTGGTCCTTAAGTAGGATGGGAACAACATAACTCAGGAGGGGAAAAAAACACAGACACAATTAATCGGCGATTCCCAGAAAATATGGGAAAATATGGGAAGTGGGGGGGAAGACAGAAACCCAGAAAATATAGGAAAATATGGGAGATATTTTTATTTGTGTGTATTTATTTGTGTGTCCCAGTTCCCCTTCAATAGCCCTATGGGGGGACGGGGCCCCGAGGATGGGATCAGGGCCAGCGCTCGGGGCTGGCAGAGGTGCCCCGAGCCCGGGGTGCCCCCCCAGCTCCTCGCTCCAGTTTTGGAGCCCCCGAGGCCCCCGTGGATCGGGTCGGGCGAAAGGGGGGGATAGCAAAGGGGGGGTTTGAGAATCAGCTCACGTGGCTGATTTTCCCGGGGCCTCCCGGCGCCGGAGGCGGCTATGTATCGAGGAATGGGCCCCTCGGTGGGGCCGAAACCAGCTGCTCCTCCTCCTCCTCCTCCTCCTCCTCCTCCTCCTCCTCCTCCAGCAAATTTCGTAACCCCCCCTTTCCCAATCCCCCCCTTTCGTCCGGCCCCCGCGGACCTCGTGATGGGCTGCTGCGGGAGGCCGGGGGTGCCTCCGCGGAGATCCTGGGGGCACCGTGTGCCAGGGGCCCTTCTGGCATGGATCGGGAGGGACAAAAGCACAGACACCATGAATCCTCGATTTTTCCCAGAAGATGTGGGAAAATATGAGAAGTGGGGGGGAAGACGAAAACCCTAAAAATATAGGAAAATATGGGGAATCATTTCATTTGTGTGTATTTATTTGTGTGTCCTGGGGCCCCTTTAGTTAAGTCGGGCGTGTCCCATTAATTACAGGAGGAGTATTCAAAAACAGTCCAAAAGTAGTCTGGGGACGATGTTCTGATTTTTTTCAGACAATTTTTTGAGTATTTGTTTTGACTATTTTTTAATCTTTCGTCCAAAATCCCCCTGTAGTAGGACACGCCCGACCTAATTCTAGCAAGTCCCAAGCATGAGGAGTTAACATATTCTCACGAGGGGATGCGTGCCGCGGCCCCCCATCGCGCATTCATCGCCGACGGGGACAAGCTCACCCCGCCCAGGAGCATGCGGATTCGCCACGGGGGGCCTGTCGCTGATCTGACCGCGATGGACTCCCGATTCCAGCTCGATGTTTCCCCCCCTGAGCCGGTCCCCCCCGTCATTGCTCGTTAGAGCCCTGAGGATGGGAGAGGGATTCCTGAAACGACGGGAAGATCGGGACAAAATTGGATCGGGATAACTCGAAATCTCTGAGAATCGGCGGGTCTGGAGGATGTATTGGGCGCCGCGGCCGCTCTCAGAGCGTTCCGGAACCCTCTGAGAGCGCTCCGGAACGCTCTGGAGCGATTTATCCCGATCCTAGCCCTGTTTTAATGGGAGAGGGCTTCCGGGCTGAGCTTGCAGTGTTCTAGGCTTCCTCGCCCTGCAGCACACGAAGTAGCGAAATCCAGCGCGTCCCCCGCTTCCGCCCGAAGCCTCCGACGATCGAGGCTCCAGATCCGAAGCTACGACGAAGCCCTTTCCCGATCTCCGAGGCTGGAGCCTCGAGGTCTCGTGCGAGAGTCCAGGACTGATGGTCAGATTTCTTGTCTACAATTCCTCTGCAAACTGCAAGATGGACGTGCGGCACCGGATTGCGGTTGAATTTCATGAGGAAAAGAAGCACACAGACACAATTAATCTTCGATTCCCTAGAACATATGGGAAAATATGGGAAGTGTGGGGGGGGGAAGACAGAAACCCAGAAAATGCAGGAAAATAGGGGGAACCTTTTTTATTTGTGTGTGTATTTATTTGTGTGTCCTGGGGCCCCTTCAGAATTGTCCGTTTGGGCGCGATGTCGTGAAACAGCGCTGGAACTGCTCGCCTGGGCGCACGGGCGCGGGCCCCTGCCCGGATCGCCCGTCTGGTCCGCGAGTGCCAGGGCGCGCTCGGCTTTTGGCCGGCCGCGCGCAGAGGGGGGCAGGGGGGAGGGGGGAAGACTCCCAAGAATCGGAGGTGGATAGACCTCCCACCCTGACACGTCGATGAATGCATTGGCCGTTTTCGGCTCGCGAGAGGTCGTCGCGGCCGTTCCTTGTGCGGGTCCAGGTCCGCCGGTTTCGGTCCCAGGCCGTTTTCATTAAGGGGAGGCTTACTAAAGGGAGGCTTGTCCACCGCCGACAGAAGCGCCCCTGCTCCTAAGAATAGGGGGCCACATGCGAACCCTACCCCTACCCCCCACGATTTCTGAGGGGGAGGGTGGGGTTCGCATGTGGACCCCTATAAGAAGCCCCTCCTGCCGATGGGAGGCTCCTCTCTCCTCCCGACGCCGCCTCTCTCCGTCTCGTCGTCCTTCTCCTTCTCCTCGTCCTCCTCGTCCTCCTCCTCGCCCTCCTCCTCGCCTCTTCCTCCTCCTCCTCCTCCTCCTCCCAACCCCTCTTTGCCCAGGGGGGCCCTCCGCGCGCGCACTTCAGAGGGGCGCAGCGTGCGGGAGCCACAGTCGGCGTATCTTGTTCCAAGGGGAAAATGTTCGCCACGAGCTGCGAGTCACATTCCATGGACAAATTGTTCCGCAGTGCAACGTCAGTGGCGAAATACACTGGCAAGTGCGTAATGCACGGCGTTGTGATGATCAACGCCCACCAGATCAAACCCGCCAGAAGAAGGCCACCACGGCCGGGGATCGTTGGATCTTTGACAGAGTCGTCATCGTGTATGCGAGCACGGCAGTGTCAGTGGCGAAGTACATCGGTAAGGTCGCCATCTCTGATGTTGTCATGATCAAGATCCGCCAGAAGAACTTGACCAAGACCGGGAATCGTGTAATCTTCGGCAAGTTCGTCTGAAAGCGGAGCAGCGGTCCAAGTCGAATCTCGACAAGAGGAAGGCGGAGTCGCTGAGGCCGAAGGCCCGAGGGGCGCGAGCCGTGGCGGCGTGGTCTGGAATCGCCCCTGGGCCTCGTCGCCTCTGTGGGGCTCGCCCTGGTCCTTTCCTGTCGCCTCTGCTGGCTTCTCCTCGCTCTCCCTGGGCTTCCTTGGCCTGGGGCTCTCTCGTCGCCTCGTCGGGCTGCGGCTCGTGCGGCGTCGTCGGCGCCCGCCTGCGGCGCGCTGCCCGCGGGCCAGCGTCCGGGGAGTCTGTGGCCGAGCCTCTGCTCGGCAGCGTGGGGAGGCCGGCATCGGCCAGCCTCCTCCCTTCGGCTCGGCGCCGGGGGGGCCCCGAGCGCCCAGTATCATCAGCACCCCCAGCGTCCCCCTCTCCGCCTCCTCCGCCTCCTCCTCCTCCTCCTCCTCGATCCTCCTCCTCGATCCTCCTCCTCCTCCCTCCTCCTCCTCCTCCCTCCTCCTCCTCCTCCTCCCTTCTCCTCCTCCTCCTGCTCCTCCTCCTCTTCCCTCCTCCTCCTCCTCCTCCTTCTCCTCCTCCTCCTCCTCCTCCTCCTCCTCCCTCCTCTCTCCTGCCAGCCACTCCGCCGAGGCCAGCAAGACCAAGTGGGTCGAGGTGTTCACGGGCAAGGGCAAGGGCACCGGGGCGGCCGTGTACGGTACTGCCGACGAGGCGGCGGCGGCGGCTCCCGCTCCCCGCTTGCGGTCCCAGCCGAGGCGATGATGAGGATGAAGAGGATGATGATGATGAGGATGATGATGAGGATGATGAAGATGAGGAGGATGAGGCGGATGGTCTGCTACCGGGTCGTGCCGCTGCTTGTCGAGCTCTGCGGGCGTAGGTGTGTGGTGGCGTCTCGACCTCTCTTGGCGCAGGATGATGATGATGATGAGGATGATGATGATGGTGATGGCGATGGTGATGCTGATGCTGATGGTGATGGAGATGGCGATGGTGATGGTGGTTGTGATGTTGATGGTGATGGTGATGCATGATGCTGCTGCTGATGATGGTGATGCTGGTGCTGATGCTGATGAAGAAGCTGACAATGGTGGTGGTGCTGCTGCTGCTGATGATGAAGATGATGATGATGATATGATGGTGATGATGATGATGATGATGATGATGATGAAGATGATGATGATGATGATGGTGGTTGTGATGGTGATGGTGATGGTGATGATGATGGTGATTGTGATGATTCCTGATGATGCTGATGCTGATGATGATGGTCACGATGGCGACGACCTCGATGACGACGATGACGATGCTGATGATGATGATGATGATGATGATGATGATGATGCGGTGGTGGTGATTGTGATTGTGATGGTGATTGTGATGATGATGCTGATGATGATAATGACGACGACGTCGACGACGGCGTGATGATGCTGCTGCTGATGATGCTGATGATGATAATAAGGATGATGCTGCTGACGATGCTGATGATGATGATGAGGTTGTTTTTGATGATGACGATGATGATGATGATGCTGATGATGATGATGATGATGATGATGATGATGATGGTAATGGCGATGCCGCAGACGATGCCGATGGCGAACACGGCGGCGAGGAGGATGCTTATTTATGTTTAGGCAATCACCCCAACCACCTACTCACCTCCAGACCGACATCCAGGAACCACGCGTGTGCGCCAGGGTTCCCACCTGCACAAGCGCCCCGATGTAATCCCTGGGACGGGACTGATGCGCCAGGCCTGCGGCGAAGAAGATGATGCCGTCCTAGTCTCCTGAGGGGAGCTGCTGGACGTGGGTCCAGCTGGCAAGACGGTTCTGTTGTCTTTCCCGATGACGACCATGATGTTGGCAATAGCGATGCTGACGATGCTTATGATGACGACGGCAACGATCGAAATGATGATGATGTCGATGACGACGACGATGATGATGATGACTGCTGATGATGATGCGGAGGATGATGACGAAAACTGTACTGATGATGACCATGACCTTGTCGATGATGACGATGATGATGCCAATGCGGAGAACGATGCTTACGAGGATGCCGATGATGATGATGCTGATGATGATGAAGATGATGATGATACTGATGATGACGATGATGGTGATCTTTGTATATAATGACGACGATGGTTTCGACGATGATGGTAATGGTGATGGTGATGATGATGATGATGAAGATGAGGAGGAGGATAATGATGACGATGATGCTGCCGCTGATGATGATGATGAGTAGGATCACGGTTGTGGTGGTGGTGATGACGATGCTAGTGATGATGAGGACGGCGACGATCATCATGACGACGATGACGACAATCATGATCGTGATGAGGGTGAAGGGGGTGACGATCGTAATGATGATGTTGATGATGTTGATGATGCAGACGTAGAGGGTGATGATGAATATAATGCTGACATTGACGACGACCATTATGCTCATGATGGTGATGATGATGATGATGGTGATGATGATGATGATGATGAGTATTGTGGCTAAGGTGATGACGACGACGGTGAGGATGGGGCTGGCGGCGACGACGACAAAAATGACAATGATTGTGAACGTGTTCACGATAACAAGTTTGATTAAACCGACGCGGACGATGATGACGATGACGACGCCACGACGCCGACGACGACGATGATGACGACGATGATCACACTGATAATTCTGAAGACGATCACGGCGACGAGTGCGACGACGACGACCACGGTGCTGATGATGATCTTGGTGATGATGCCGATGATGATGGTGGTGAAGCCGGCGACGACGATGACGTTACTGATTATCATGAAGCCGGTAAACGCGATGACGACGATGATGAGGACGACCACGATGATGGTGATGCTGCTGATGACAATAGTGATTCTGCTGATGACGACGGCGGCGATGATGATGACGACGGCGTTGATGGTGATGCTGAAGATGTTGTCGATGATGCAGTCGTCGACGATGCTGATGAGGCTCCGACGATGATGGCGGTGAAGGTACTGCTATTGATGATGATGTTGATTAAAGCCTGCGACGGCGTCGAGGAGAAGGAGAACGGCGACAACGACGGCGACAACGACGATGCTGATTATGATTATGATTGTGATTATGATGATGATGATGATGATGACGTTGGTGTTGATGATGATGAAGCTAGAGATGGGGATAGTGATGATGATGACGATTATGGTGCTGACTGGTGACAGTGGTTGTGGTGATGATGATGATGATGATGATGATGATGATGATGGTGGCGTGGATGAGAATGGTGATGATGACGATGCTGCTGATGATGATGGTGATCGTGATGATGAGGAGGATGGGGAGGGAGGGGGGATGGGAGATCGTGTTAGAAGAGGAGGAAGAGGAGAAGGAGGAAGAACTGGATAAGGGGGAACAGGAGGGAGGACGAGGGACGATGAGGATGATGATGATGACGATGATGATGATGATGATGATGATGATGATGATGATGACGATGATGATGATGATGATGATGATGATGATGATGTCATGATGATCATGATGATGGAGATGCTGATGATGAGGCTGATGATGGTGCTGCTGATGATGATGCTGATGCTGATGCTTATGGTGATGATGCTGATGATGATCATTATGATGATGATCATGATGATGCTGATGATGCTGCCACTGATGATGGTGATTGTGATGCTGATGATGTTGCTGCTGGTGATGATGATGATGATGATGATTTTGATGCTGAGTATGATGACGATGCTGCGGCTGATGATGATGGTGACGCTGATTCTGATGATGCTTGTGGTGATGAGGACGACAACGACGATGATGATGAGGATGATGATGATGATAATGATGGAGATGCTGATGATGATGACGCCGCTGATGATGCTGCTGATGCTGCTGATGATGAATATGATGCTGATGGCGATCATGGTAACGAAGTTGATGATGATGATGATGACGAAGACGATGACGATGAGGACGATGATGGTGATGACGCGGATGCTGACTATGATTATGATGATGGGACTGATGATGATGACGATGATGACGATGATGATGATGCTGCTGCTGATGATGATGATGATGAAACTGATGATGATGATGATGATGCTGACGATGATGATGAGCATAATTATGTTGATGCTGATGAAGCTGATGACGATGATGCTGCTGCTGCTGATGGTGATGATGATGATTATGATGATGATGATGATGATGATGATGATGATGATGATGATGTTTGTGGTGGTGGTTTTGATGATGATGATCACGACGACGACCATGCTGGTGATGGTGATGATGATGTTGGTGATGGTGGTGGTTGTGGTGGTGTTGACGCTGATGACGATAGTGGTTGTGATTATCATAATGTTGACCATGCTGACAGACCCGCGCATGGTGATTGTTATGTTGATGCTGATGCTGCTGCTGATGATGATGTTGATGTTGATGTTGATGTTGATGATGATGATGATGATGATGATGATGATGATGATGATGATGATGATGATGATGATGCTGATGACAGTGGTGATGTTGATGAGGACGAGGAGGAGGACGAGGAATAGGAGGAGGAGAAGGGCGAGGAGGAGGGCGCGGAGGAGGAGGATGTGGAGGAGGAGGAGGATGTGGAGGAGGTGGAGGAGGCGGAAAAGCAGGAGGAGCAGGGGGAGGGGTCGTGGACCAGGACAGGCGCGACAGTGGGAGGAGGTGGAGGAGGAGGAGACGATAGGGACAGGGCCACTTCGGTGCCACTTCGGCCCCAGCGGCGGCCCCAGGCCGCGCCCCCCCCCCCCCGCGGGGGGGCCTCCTGTACTCTCCCTCTGCCTTGTCGTTGCGGTCCATCTCCTCCTCCTAGCCGTTCTGCACCCAAGGGGTCTTGCAGGCACTCGTTTCAGAACGGCAGGGTGTCTGCAGGTCAATCTGCTTACGCCCTGCAATATTTCGTCCATCTTCGCAGTGCGCCATGGGGGGAGGATTTCGTGGAATGGATCCTCGCTGTCTCAGCCGGCCTGGTCTGGCACCTAACCGTGGCATTACCAGCAGCAGATGTGATATATATATATATATATATATATATATATATATATTATATATATATATATGTATATATAGGGTAGCATGAGCAGAAGTGGGCAGGCAAGTGGAAGTGCTTTGCTTGCGGCTGAGGGAGGAACAGCAATGCGAGCAACATCTGCAAACACTGCGGCTCAACTCGGGCTCAGCCCCGCCCAACACCACCGCAACTGCCGCGTGGGGTGTGGGGCCACCAGCGTGACCTTCCGTTTCGCCTAGATCTGCTGTCTCCTCCTGGCCATTGGCAGCCTCCTGTCCTACGGCCACGTGTACAGCTCATGCCAGACGGTGGCGGTGGCGCCGCTGCAGACTCCACGGACCCATTTGGGTCCAAGGACTTGCAGTTGATCATCGCAGTCGCCGGGGTGACGGGGACACAGCCACTGTCGAGCGCTACCAGGCCGAATTTGACGCCATGGCCGCCTCCGTAGCCCAGGTCGCCCCCGAGCCGCTACAGGAGCAGGCCAACGGCTTGCACGTGCAACTTGCAAATGAGGAAGCTCGGTAAGCTCATGGAGATGGAGCTCGCGAGGTTCAAGAAGCGGCAGGGGAGCGTGGCTCTTAGGAGAGAAGAAAACGCACAGACACAATTAATCGTCGATCCCCAGGAAAACATGGGAAAACATGGGAA